TGTTTTAAAAAAATCAGTGATAGTGTGCTTATATATTATATAATGAATTATGTAACTTGTCCAAGGTGGAAATAGGTCTCAACCCCAAAACCTGTATGCTTAACCACTATGCTTACTGCCTCATCTCATTCAGTTTATATACAAATATGTCATGATTTATTCTTTAATTCAGATACTGCACTTATACTAGTCAAGTTTATTGCAGTATTAGACATCTCTAAATGCGGCGCTCTTTTGAATTGTTGATAAAGGAGAGCTGGACAACAAGTGTATTTATGAGCTAGTGCATATATGTGGAAACTGAGTATATTTACTGTAAGAGAAAATTGTGTTTTCTCTACGAAATTGGTGTCAGCACGGAGAAGAGTACTTATACATAGTTCTGGCAGTACTGAAACGGAGTAGTAAACAGGCATTTGAGTTATTACACTTTGTTAACAAACAGTGTTCTTTAGAATTCATGATTTGGGAAATCTATCTACACGGCTGGATTAATCTAAGTTTATTTTATTTTGGCCCACTCTTAGCGCAAGTGCAGGACAGTCAGTTGACCTTTTCAGTTTATCGCTTTAACTCTCAGACTACTTATCTTTAAATTTGATAATAACAGAAAATAAACTCCAGCCAGATTGTTTTCACCTTTTCTCATAGGCACTATTTTCCCAATAGCATTATTACTCTCCTCAGTAAAATGAAAGTGAAATGCATGTGTCTTATTTCATAAACAAAGACAAGACTCTGACATATTATCTGTAGTTTACGTTCTTTTAGAGAAAAACTGTAATGCCATCAAAGTTTGTTGTGCTATCTGAAGTTCTTAATAAAAATTCCAGGAGGCCAAGAGATCTCTGGGCAGTTTCCTTACATTTATGGGGGAACTAATTGCCTATCTTCTCACAAAACCTCAATGAGACCTGACTTCTAGCCAGCTCAGCCGGGGTCTTCCCTCTCACCTCCAATTCCAAGGTTTACTTCGTGTGCTTGCCTTAGGCTGGTGCTGTAAACCACTGAGCCAGGGCCACAGCTGTGAGCTAGGATTACTGTGGAGCTATTCATTTGCCCTAGTTTCACTACAAGATGAGATCCCTGCATTTGACCTTGTATCACTTTGTTGTGTTGCTGTCATTATTACTGTTTTATTATTGCTGTTGTTGTTATTTTTGTTACTTTATATACTTAAAATGCCTAGCTTTGAAACCAGTTTGGATTTGAGATACACCATACATTCTATTATTTTAAAATGATAAATGCAGACATCTTTGTATCAACTTTATTCAGTTTTCAGATTTATTAAGCTTTTTTACTTTATCCAGAAACTAAAAATTCTGATTGGCCTTCAGTTTTTAAAGTGAGGAAACAATTTCTGTTTATTTGGATTTGGATATGCTCTATGTTGGAATGAGGGCCTACTCCGTGCTGAAAGAGGTTATGTGTTTTTCTATGAGCTAGGTGAAATTTGTGTTTCTCCCTTGGCTGGGTATGCATTATGTATAAACAAAGATGTTCTACGGTTCCTAGGGAAGAAGAATGAGGAAGACGCCTCCTTCCTAGTTCTCTCACAGGCTTTCCCGGGAAATCATTGGCACAGACTGAAGTGGAGTGATGTAGAGTGAAGCTAACAGACAATTCTACTATGTGCCAGGAACTGTGCTTCCTATATATTTGCCTGGTCTCATTTAATGTTCTTAACAAAGTCATGAGGTCATTCCCCTTTTCCTTATGGTGTAGATGAGGAAACTGAGGCTCAGAGAGATTGGGCAACTCATCTAAAGTCAAAGAGCCAGAGGTGGCAGAGCAGGGAATCAAACAATGTTTATTGAGATTCCACAGCCAACACCTTTCTGTGCCCCATGCTGCCTGTCTGTGGACTCAGGTGGCCTGGGGGCTCCAAGTCCACACTAAAGTCAGGGTCTAGTACTGAATGAAGTCCCATGCATTTCTCTTAGGTTCTAGGGGCAATCAGAATGTCAGAGTGGAAAAGAGACTTCGCAGCTCAGTCAGGTATTTGCTTAACCACTGGTTTCCTAGCCTCTTCTGTTTGGGCCTTGGAGTTGAATGGGGACTGAACTTCTCCAGGGCTGGGAGGTGGCTCTGTCTCCTGAGGGCCAGCCATGCACCAGCTATGCTGTTGTTGTTTGGAGGCCTTAGCATTCTTCACTTCAAACCGATTACTTTTTTGTTATCTTAATATAACATCATTGGTTATCTAGCTGATTGAAATGTGAAGGAGACTAATCCTGTACGGTAATGATTTGCAAGTAGAACACCAAATCTATGGGGATATTCAGGGCATTTGCTTTTAAAAATTGATTTTTCTCTAACTTGTGCTAACTGTCCCTTGATCCTTAATTAGAGAATTCCATCATTTTAATAACTTGGTACTGTTTTGCTGGTAAATGAGGAGATATGTAAACAGAACGTTTTTTCCCCTTCTTTACGGACCTAAAAACATGTTCAGAATTTTCATTTGCATCACTTGATCTTTTTTTATTTTTTTTCTATGTTGCAAGCAAAATGTCATTTGATTTAAATTGACACTAAGCACATTTCTGTTAGAGGAGCCAGTGACTGTGGTCTTTAGATAGAGACTGATTATATTTCTTAATCCAACAGCAGTTTAAGTTTGTGCTATCAGTGTGAGTCGGTGGTTTGACTCTGCAGCAGGCAGTGGGTACTTCACGATTCTTCTTTAGCAGGGGCTCAGATGACTTTGGAAGATTGTCCTGAGTATTTAGATGCCCCTTCTCTCTATGGGTAAAAGTGTGTGCTCTGTGCCTGGCTAACCATTATGTAGTTTTATAATCCATTCGTTGAATGTCTGTTGCATGGCAGACACAGATTGTCTTCATCACACCTCATTTCATCCTCACAACCACCCGGGGAAGTTGTTATGTTATGAGCGTGTAATATTCCCTCCACTCTTTAGATAAGGAAGCTGAAGTTCAGGTAGATCTGTTTCCCAGTGGTTACACAGCTAGTGCCTATTAATAGCAGGGCTCACCAGATCTGTCCGCCTTTTTCAACTACAACATTTTGCCTGGAAATGAGCTAGCAGGAAAGTTTTAGGAAATGAGGTTGAGACAGTGGTAGAGGGCTTTGAATTTCACTAGTGAGGCACCACACTTTGGATTAACTTATTCATTCAAGACCTGTTTCTTGGGCACCTAATATGTGCCAAACAGTCTGGGCATTGGGGGCATCACATTGAATCACAAAGCTTAAATACCTGCCGTTGAGAAGCTTACAGTATGGCTCTTGGAGGTTTTGAACAGAGAAATGACATGCTTTGGTATAAGTTTTACAGGAGTCTTGCTGACTGCAGTGCAGACCATCAGCTGTAGAGGGGCACAGGCTGAGTCAGGGAGACCAGTTAGGAGGACTGTTTTGCAACAGTCCAGGCAAAAGAAGTTGGGACTTGAACCAGCATGGTAGCAGAGGTGAAAAGTTGGATTCTAGATGGACTTAGAAGAAAACACCAATAGGATTTGCTGAACAATTGGATGTGGACATTGCTTGTCTAGGCTTTAACTGGAACTCAGGTCAGCCTGCCTCCTAAACCTGCGCTCTTTTAATTATGTTAAAATGCTCAAGTGTAAAGTAGCTTCACAATATTCAATTTAGTGAGAAACGTAGCTCCTTTTCAGTGCCTTGGCACTAGACTTGTGAAAGCAGAATACTTGTTGGTGTCCAGAGGAGGCAGGACAGAGCTCCATTTCCCAGGAGCATTTATCATCCAGGCTGAAGTCGACCCGCCGGCTCCCTTGAAGAAGGCCACGTGCCTGGGTGGTAGCAGTTGGTTATACTCGACGTCTATAGTGTGTCCATCTCGGAGCCATTCAAAATCCTTCGCTATGGTTTCCCTGCAGTGAGGCAAGAGGACAGATCTTATTAATAAGATTTAAGCCCAGCTTCACATGTTTCTGCCTTTGTTATTTCTCAGAAACCACATCATCAGGTCCAAATCAGAAATGAGTTTTAATTCTTGGTCAAAAAGTGGAACTTTTAGCATACTGTTTGACCATTGTAGTGAGCTTTTACGGAGCGGACACAGTCACTCAAAAATGGTTCTAGGGCTTCCCTGGTGGCGCAGTGGTTGAGAGTCCACCTGCTGATGCAGGGGACGTGGGTTTGTGCCCCGGTCCGGGAGGATCCCACATGCCGCAGAGCGGCTGGGCCAGTGAGCCATGGCCGCTGAGCCTGCGCGTCCGGAGCCTGCGCTCTGCAGCGGGAGAGGCCACAACAGTGAGAGGCCCTCGTACCGCAAAAAAAAAAAAAAAAATGGTTCTAGATACGCCAGATCTGCTAGTAGCTTTAATAACGCAGGATACAAGTTTGTATTTCCCAAGTCAATGAAATTGCCACCAAGCTGTTTGTGCGGTAATGAGATGAATAAAGTGTCATTCTCATTCAGTTCATTTTCATTGACCTTAAGTGAATGACCTTATATTTCCAAGAAGGAGGGGAACATGACCCTGAGTAAACATAAACATTGCATCTGCTTCACAGTCGTTACATTACTAAGGACAGCATGGGCAGCTATACTTGTGGATTTGGACTAAGAAGCAACTCCCCACACACCTTGTCTTGAAGTAGAGGCAAATGATTGGGTTTCAGTTAATCATTGGAAGGCCTCGTGATCTGTCTAGAGCCTAGCTGCATCTTCTGGATGCAATCTAATATCCCAATGAACTTGGCTATCCATTGAGTCCTACTGGGCAGGTTGTCCAGTTAAGGATATGAATAGAGGCTCTCAATTCCTGGCCGGCAGACCGCATTTATCACAACCCCTTTCTTCATTAACCTGCCCTGGAGATCAGCCCTGAGGGTACTCCTTTGTTGTGTCAGCCACACCCTAAATCAAGCAGCCACACCAGCAGGAGATGAATGTGCACACCTCTGATTGCCTCCTGCCTCCAGAATGCAGATAAGAGGCCCTGCCATTTTTCAAAAATTCAAAAACAACTGAAGAATCACTTGTTTTATTTTATTATTTTTCCCAGGGCTGCGTCCAAAGAGGACTCTGCGTTTGGTGCTCTGGACTGCAGAGGAGCAAGGTGGAATCGGTGCCTTGCAGTATTACCAATTACACAAGGTAAGAGAGCAGCCATGGACTGCTGGGCATTTGCACATGTAATATCAGTGTAAATACAGCAAAAGCACTGATGCTTTTAGTTTAAGAATTTCCTCTATTGTCCTGAAGACTCAGCAATACTTTGCGGTAGGCTGGCCCTGGCAAACACCCCTTGCAGAAGTCTTCATCCAGCTCCATAAAGGAGAATGCACTGGTGAGCTGAGGGTGCTGGGATGGAGCTGAGTGATTTTCTATTTCTACATTAGTCTGTAGCCTTAGGAAAATTACACCTGCTCTGTGGCCATTTTCCTAAACTCTCTAGTTCTGCTATATTCATGTATGCCAGAGAAATAGTAATAGGTTAACATTCCCTGTTCCTACTGAGTCCACCCCCATACCCCAATGTCCCAAATCCTCCTGGGAGCGCTGGTATTTGAAAGCCACATCCTGAGACCTTGAGTCAGCCAGAAGCATTGATAATGGCCATGGGAATAGCAGCAACGAGAGGTCTCAGACCTGGGAATGTGGAGGCCAGTGTGGTTTGACAGTGACCAATATAAGGCAGAAGTGAAGCTTGAAGCAAGAAGGTGATAGTGGAAGATCATAAACAGAAATAAAAGACCACGTTTAAGGCAGGGGACAGGGACTCCCAAGGCAAACGAAATAAAAGCAAAAATAAATAGGTGAGATTTAATCAAACTTGAAAGCTTTTGCAAGCAAAGGAAACCACCAACAAAACAAAAAGGCAATCTACGGAATGGGAGAAAATATTTGCAAATGACACGATCGACAAAGGGTTAATAGCCAAAATACACAAACAACTCATACAGCTCAATGTCAAAAAATGGGCAGAAGACCTAATAATACATTTCTCCAAAGAAGACATACAGATGGCCAACAGGCACGTGAAAAGATGCTCAACATCTCTAATTATTAGAGAAATTCAAATCAAAACCACAATGAGGTATCACCTCACACTAGTCAGAATGACCATCATCAAAATGTCTATAGATAATAACTGCTGGAGGGGGTGTGGAGAAAAGGGAACCCTTGTGCACTGTTGGTGGGAATGTAAATTGGTGCAGCCACTATGGAAAACAGTATGGAGGTTCCTTAAAAAACTAAAAATAGAACTACCATATGATTCAGCAATCCCACTCCTAGGCATGTATCTGGAAAAGATGAAAACTCTAATTTGAAAAGATACATGAACCCCAATGTTCACAGCAACACTATTTACAGTAGGCAAGACATGGAAACAACCCAAGTGCCCATCAACAGACTTAGGAAGATGTGGTACATATATACAATGGAATATTATTAGTCATAAAAAAAGAAATATTGCCATTTGCAGCCACATGGATGGACCTAGTGAATATCATACTAAGTGAAGTAGGTCAGAGAAAGATAAATATTATATGATATCACTTATATGTGGAATCTAAAAATAATACAAAAGAATGTATCAATATATACAAAACAGAAACAGACTCACAGACGTAGAAAACAAACTATGGTTACCAAAGGGGAAAGGGGGTGGGGGATGGATAAGTTACGGGTACGGCATTAACAGATACAAACTACTGTACATAAAATAGGTAAGTAACAAGGATTTACTGTATAGCACAAGATATACAGATATATAGCATCTTGTAATAACCTATAATGGAAAATAGTCTGAAAAAAATATATATATATATAACTGAATCACTTTGCTGTCCCCCTGAAACTAACACAATATTGTAAATCAACTAAACTTCAATATAGAAAAATGAGGGACAAGGACATCAATATCAAGAACAACCTTGAAGGGAGAGAGGGCAAAATGTACAAGCTGAGAAATACTCTGGACCAAATCAAATGTTTGTTCAAAGAGGAATTCCCCAATCCGTGGGTGTTTTGCTGAGCAACGAGTGCTGGGCAGGGGAGCAGGGTCTGGTCTGCTGGATTATTCTCCCTGCATCTCCAGATTAGAAGGAGCACATCTTATAAACTTAAATTATCAAAATCAGAGAGAGGTCCGTTGTTTTCTGAGTTGTGTTTATATCCTTTTTGGTCATTTGACAAAGTCTCTATTACCCTATTTCAGTTATTTAGAGCTTAAGAATAGTAAGTTTAGTTAGGGTCATGAATTCGGTCACCGAGTATCGTTACTTTCTGTACAAAGGAGGACCATGCTTTATGCCCAACTCTTTCACCACTTCAGTTCTTATGGCCTCAAGTGTTCCTGGGGAATAAGGTTATTCCAGATTATGCCCTTTGGTTGGTGGGTCAGTAGCATCATCTTCTCCATGTTGTGGTGGACGAGAACATCAGATAGGAGTCGTTCTTGACCCAGCAACATTCAATATTCTCTGAGCACGTACTGGCTCAGGCACTGTATTAGGTATTAGGTTTACTGTCATTAAGAAGATTCACCATGACCTTGCTGAGACTGCCATCTAAAGAAGGACACCAACCACTGAACTTTAATCATAATATAAAGTGTTAAGAATGTTCTGTTAAAGAACAAACCAGTGATGGCAGAGACAGAAAGTTCACGTAACCTGGCCTTCTGGACTGGTCAGGATAGACTACATGAGAGAAATGACATCTAAGCAGAGACCTGAGGACTAAGCAGAGGCCAGATAAGGAAGAGGAGTTGGCAGAGAGGAGGTGAGTCCATGGTAGTGGGACCTCCATGTGCCAAGGCTGGAGGTGAAGAGGTCCCAGCACACAGCGGAAACTGAGAGGCAGTCAGAGTGGCTGCTGTGTGGAATGCAAGATGCACAGTGGCAGGAGCAGAGAAGAGAGAGAAGCAAGAGGCTGGGCTGGAAGGTACAAACCATGTTTAGAAGTTTGCACTTTGTCCAGAGTGCAAGAGAGTAATCTAATTATTTTTAAGAAGGTGCTTTTAGAATCTATACATCTTGGACTCTATAAGAAACATAAAAACCTAAAGGAACTGTTTTGAAGCTCAGTCATTCTCTATAATATACACTACTTCAAGAAAAAAAATGGATTTAGGGCTTCCCTGGTGGTGCAGTGGTTAAGAATCTGCCTGCAAATGCAGGGGACACAGGTTCAAGCCCTGGTCCGGGAAGATCCCACATGCTGCAGAGCAACTAAGCCCATGTGCCACAACTACTGAGCCTGCACTCTAGAGCCCGCAAGCCACAAATACTGAGCCTGTGCCACAACCACTGAAGCCTGCATGCCTAGAACCCGTGCTCCGCAACAAGAGAAGCCACTGCAATGAGAAGTCCACACACCACAAGGAAGAGTAGCCCCCACTCGCCACAACTAGAGGAAGCCCGCACACAGCAACAAAGACCCAACACAGCCAAAAATAAGCAAATTTACTTATTTTTACCAAAAAAGTAAAAATAAGTAAATAAAATAAATTTTTTTTAAAAAGTGGATTTAAACTGTAATAGCTCCAGCTTGAAATTTCCTCAACCACCGAAATTCCTTAGATCTAGGAAAAAAAAAAGTTTATTTCTCTGAAGATATTGAGTTTTACCATAGCCTTCTAATAAATACATGGATGAAATCAGAAATTACTTGATTTTAAAATTCTAAGAGGTTGGCAGACATATATATATATATATATATATATATATATATATATATACTCAAATGACATGCAGTGACATTAACAGAACTGTTTTATCTTGAAAATAGCCACATCGTCTTCATACAAATGTGTCTATATACTGGTGGCTGGTCTGAATTGCATTTTCAGGGATAGAAAGAAGAAATTCCAGAAAGGGAAAACATAGGCCTTTTTTATAGGATAGCTCTTTATCTTACCTTTAAAGACATTCTGCATGTTTTACAAGACACAGCCCATTTTGAAGGACTTATTCTATATTCTTATGATTACTATATTGATATAATAAAGCATTGTCAAGAGCATACTCATTTCTGGGTGGCTGAGTTTAACTTTAAAGTAACTATAGTAAGGACCTCATCCTTGAGGAGTAAGTGGGTTTGAGTGAGTAGTCAGGAGGGGGTAGAAAAGGGAAAGCCGCTCTCCTTCATATTGATGAGAACTGAGTCCTGACTTGCACCCTTGGCATCCATATGGGTGATACTGAAAAGAAACAGAACTTTTTTCGGGGGGAGGACATATTCTGGCCATTATAAAAATAAAAGATTTGAACTTTTAAAATAACTCTGCTAGCATTTTTATGATATAGTTATGGTTACCAGTGATCTATAACAAGGATCAGTAAGATATGGCCTGTGGGCCAAATCCATCTGTTTATGTACAGACCTCAAGACAAGAATGTTTTTACATGTTTTTTGTTTGTTTGTTTGTTTTGGGGGTAGGAGTTTATTAATTTATTTATTTTTGCTGTGTTGGGTCTTCATTTCTGTGCGAGGGCTATCTCTAGTTGTGGCAAGTGGGGGCCACTCTTCATCGCAGTGCACGGGCCTCTCACTGTGGCGGCCTCTCTTGTTGCGGAGCACAGGCCCCAGAAGTGCAGGCTCAGTAGTTGTGGCTCACGGGCCTAGTTGCTCCGTGGCATGTGGGATCCTCCTAGAACAGGGCTCAAACCCGTGTCCCCTGCATTAGCAGGCAGACTCTCAACCACTGCGCCACCAGGGAAGCCCCTTTACATGTTTTAACTGACTACGTGACCGAGATTGTATGTGGTCTCTAAGCCCCAAAATAATAAGTATCTAATCCTTTACAAAAAAAGTTCATTGATCCTTAATCTATACGATAAAAATCATAAAATATGTTCACGTTATTTCCATACAATGATTTATTTATAACTTTGTATTGACTTAAATGATAATTTTATAACTTTTGCTTGGAGCCAATCATGTAAGTATTTTGCAGGAAGATATTATTGTAATAAATAATATGAATGTACATATACCACTCTTTTTTCTATGCATTCTGATTTGGTGTGGAGTTTAATAGTAAAGTTAGGTTACTTAAGTAGCATTAATTATGGAGAAAAACACTATGTAAAAAATTATTATTTCTTCTTTTTCTTGCTCTGAATGGATTCTTTCTTCCTCCTCAT